GGATGTTCACAAACGCTTCATTCGGCGGATTCATATACGTCGGTCGCTGACATGAATACGTGGTTCTCAGAAACTCAGGTATGACGGGCAGTGTGATGTCGTGTTCCGATGTCGTTTGATGAAGGAGACTAGGTGCATTTTGCGACATTGTTGTCGAGGCATCATGACGCCTTTTGTGCCCATTGGATGGCGAGGTGCTTGATGACTGCGCTTTCTTCTCGAGAAGGGCACGCTCAAGAATACTACTAGCTGGTGAAGTAGAGCCTTTGGGTAATACAGGTGCGAGTGTTTTTTCACGAGGCAAGACTCGATTACACTGGAAGATCAAGTAGTGGTCCACGGGTAAGAGTTCTTCCTTCTCCCACGAGTCTAGGAGCCATGAAAGTTTAACAACCTTGACTATGTCTGTCCCAATTTCGGGTTGTTCTTTGACTCTCCTCCGCTTGGGATCTGGGCTACCACCCGAGTCATCGGCCACAGCTGGATAATCAACTTGGTGACTCTCCTTTTGAGGTTCCTCTACAGAGGCAAACTCGAATTTTGCCCTTCTCAGCTCAAACTCAGCGCGTCTTTGCTGCGATATCTTTCCGAGCACGATCTCAGCTTCATTGATGTCATACGTCAATGTAGGGATTCGTTCTTCGAGATGGTGCAGTTCTTCAGGTTTTAGATGTGTTGAGAGGAGGAAAATCCGCGGAAGGTTATCAAGTCTCATCACAGTAACCTTCCGGCAGATGTGCTTCAGCCTTTGGTGCGGATGGAGAGAGTTCTGGCTATTCGTTGAATATCAAGGCTGTGGTGACTGACATGAGTCTCATACTTGCACACGCCTGGCTGATTGAGTTAGATGATACAGTAAATAGGTCGTGAATTGTAAGGGTCTGTTCTTCGAGTATGAGTTGTCTCGCTTATCTTCATACAGTGGTAGCGGCCAGATAATCACTTCGTTTGGTATGGATGACGTGGAGATGGACAAATCGCGAGGGCATAGCTTAAAGTGCTGAGGTAGAGAGGAAATGGCTTCATTGATGTGGGAAAGGACTCTGTCTCGGTTTTATCCCTGTCAGCCACGGCTAGTCGCATACCTTATGCCCATAACTCCTTCTGCATTTTAATATGCGACTTCCATTTTATGCTGTCACAGCTGGGCGAGGTAATCCCAATTCTTTATTACCTAGGTACCTACCTGTAGTTAGTAGGTATTTGTTCAGACCGGGTAGATGGAGGGAGTGACCAAGACGACCAAGAAGCTTTTTGAGATTGTGCCTTTTCTCGTTCGAGATCAGATAGAGCCATTGGAGGTAATACTATGAATTTGATTTTGCTTACAACTATCTCATATCGATCCAATGTAATATATTCCCAGTGCATACCTATTATGAAACCTTGATGCCCCATGAGTCAAGTGTAAGTAAGTTGATCGTGTCTTTGTAGGGTAGTCTAGACTCCACGTCACTGGCTCGTGGGGCTTGAACTCTGCGATTCCCGTTAAGGGAAGTGTGAGGAGTTAGCGCATCTAGATCCGTTGATTAGGTACTGACTTATGAAAGAAGATGTTACCTAAGGTACCTTGCATCAAGGACATTGGACCTCTGCCGTAATTGTTGTACGAGACCCATGATAAATATGTCTACTCGCTCAATATTTCCGCGAGTGTATATTGATTTCGCAAGCCTTTGTCACGGTTAGGAGCGTTTCCATTGTAATTGACTTCAAGGCATATTATCTGCTGTAAATCTAGCGGCGGCGGCGGCGGCGGAGCCGGCCATTTAAGCTCCGATCGGCCCATGCAACAGTGATTGGGGTCTCTTGTAGAGGACATCAACCTCAAAACCGCAAACCGCAATCGCATACTTTGCATCTTTTCTTCTATTCTCCCAGCTTCTACTCCTTCTTTCAACCGCTTCTATTTAATCAGCCCGTTATTTGACTTGTATGACTCACGGTTACTGCCCACACACCATCCACAGTCACATACACACTTTCTCCAATATTTTACGCACCTCAGATCTTGACGGGCCATGGATCTCGATATTGAGATGGACGATGCCGTCGACACGGTTCACGACGCACCCATTCTCGACATCGGTCGCGATGATATCCTCGTAAGCTTGACTAACAGTCAGACTGCTGCCATCCGAAATTGACTTCCCTTCCAGCAACCTGACGAGCCTGAAGAGCCTGGCGAGGTGGCTGAAGACGAACCTCCGACTGACGACTCAAAGACCCTCGTCCCAACAAAAATTCACATCAAGGGTGTCGACTCTCTTCACACAACCGACATCAAAGCCTACGTCAAGGCTCACTTCGGCGATGTCGACAGAATCGAGTGGATTGACGATTCTTCCGCCAACCTCATCTTTCCTTCTGAACCCACGGCGCGTGATGCAATTGTTGCCTTGAGCTCTGTTCCCGTCGCAGATGCCACAGCATTGGCAATCGGAGAGACTCTACCTGCGAAGCCTTTGGAAGGGAAGCCAGAGATTTCTCTCCAGGTGAGATTTGCAGTACAAAGCGATAAAAAAGAGGTTGGTGCTGCCTTGCGTAGCCGCTATTATCTCCTTCATCCTGAGCACGACCCCGAGGAGCGACGGCGCAGGAATCAGGAAAACCGGTCAAGGTACAGGGATCGTGATGATGGCTATCATAGGGGTGGCGAGGGCCGACGACGACGCGCCTCTGACGACGACGTTGAGACGTTTGAAGCCAGCATGTACGATGATGCGCCTCGCCCAACACGGAGAAGACGCGATTCAGACATAGAGGAACGACCACGCTCATATGCTCGTGAGAATCAAGGCAAGGAATTGTTTTCAGGCCGGAAAACACAACGCGACCGATCTGCATCTCCCAGGCGCGATAACGATGGCGACGATCTAATGGGTGAGAGGGCTAGCTCATCTGCGAACAGAGCGCGAGCGAGGGATCTCAAGGATCGCATATCAGGCAGTAACAATTCCAAGGAGTTGTTCCCGACCAAGAAGTCGATTAAGCAGTTTGGTGGAGGAAACCTGGATACCCTTGAGCGAGCGATAGGATCAGCCCGCCTCAAAGATGAGGATCGCCCCAAGATTGTTTCCGTGCCCAGTGCACGAGGCGATGGCAACTCATTCAACATCCGCGGCATGGCGAGCCAGCAGGGGAGTGGAGAAGGCTTTGCGATTAAGGGTGCTGCTTCAGCTAACGCGCGCGAATTGTTCCCTACTAAACTTGGCAGCAACAATACTGGCAAGGAGCTATTTGGAGGAGGGAGATCGAAGCAACGACAGAAGGCCGAGGACCTTTTCTCTTAAACAGGGACTTCATCGAAACATGGTACACATTATACAATAGCAACGGCTGAACTGGGCTAACAATACGGACGCATAAGTGATGGGTGCTGGTGACTATATATATGGTTTTGTAACGATACCAAGGCGCATTCAAACAGATACATTATGGGTTCTTCCATCTTCAGTTTCCAGATATGAATTCCAAACAGATGTTTTATAAAGATTGTGGGCTGAATCGTATGAAGTTTCGTGGTTATCGTGATCCGGAGCTTATTCGTCTACAGATGCTATGCTAGGCTGCCGATTCCTACCACCACTTCTCAAGCATAACTCTGTTTTTGTCCATCCCCCTGTCTCCTGTTAAGCCATCAACTATTTCATCCGTCATCGTCGCGGGGCCACAGACATATACCACACTGTTGTTCTTCTCATCCACAGCCTCCTTCACATCTTCAACTGTGAATCTCCTTTCATGAACATCAAGTTCACGGCTCTCGACCTGCCCGTCATATATCCCTGTGGTAAAAAATTTCAAATCTCCAATAAGTTCCTTTTCTGTAAACCATTTTCTGATTCTCTCCAGGAAAAGAACACCCATGAGACCCTGCGCAGGTAACTTGCTAGCATAGAGAACCTTGACCTCCAGGTTGTATCCCTCTTCAGCTATATGCCCCATCATACTGGCGAGTGGGTTGATCCCCACGCCGCCCGCCACAAATACCACATGGCTTATGTCGGTCACGGGTATCTCTGATGGTGGGAAGACAAAGCTTCCTCCAACACGCACCTGTAACTTGGAACCAGTAATATCGGACGGCGACTGCCAGAGCCATGCCGCTGGAGGGTTCTCTGGGGATTCTTGTACTGCTAACTCCAGGTAGGGAGACTTGGGATCGGCAGCCGCGCGAGGTGTAGATGTGAGTGTGAAGCCGCCTGGTTTGGGGTTCCCGGGGATGTATGTATCAAGCCATTGACCGGCCAAGAACTAGATACTGTCAGTATTCCTCCTGGCGAAAGACTGAAATTAATATGATATATGCTGTATGTACCTTGGTTGGCCCTGACTCGAGTTTGAGACGATATAACCTAATTCGCTCATTCACCTGATCTACACGCTCGAGTCTTACATCCAGAAGGCTCTGATTCGCCGAATATCAGTCAATGATATACAATGGACCTGTATTGATATGAACCAACCTCATCTCGTGGCTCCTGAGCTGTCCTTTCTAGATGACTACTGCGTTGAGTCGACATGGCTTTTGATCTCGCGCAGAAGGCTATGGGGTTGATGGCAGCAAGTCCCAAGCTTCGACCCGATAAAGAGAGATTAGGACTAATGGTTGCAAGTTTGAGAGGCATGAATTCACATAAAACCGTCCAAGGGCGATTATAGTCAATGGCCTCATGTTAGCATGTGCATGACATACCTAGGCACCTAGGTAGTGGGGTGGACTACCATTGACATAGGTAGACTCACAGACGCTGAGTCAGGCGACAGCCTACGGAGTACACACCTGCATCTTCCTGGAGGCAACGAAGATGATACTGTACGATTCGGCGAATCAGATTATTGCATAGAATTTTGTTGCAAAGAACAATGCTTGACCGTCCGTTTTAGAATTCTATCTTCTCCAAGCCTAGCTCCTGGAGTCCATGACCTCGAGTTACATTACCTTCCCCAAGACACTATATGCCTCGTTATCCCGTAAATTGCTATACCAAACACATCTAGGACGACTCTGTCCAGTTGACTTGATCCATGACCTGTCCAGCAGTTGGGTGCGTGTATGCAATCCTCAAGCGCAGACGCAGAGGCTAAAACATTTGTTAGTATATCAAATTCTGTTGCCGGGAATTGGGAACAACACTTACCCCTTTGCATCCGGACACTCGCATCATCTGGCTGGCTTCAGCTCCAGGTCCGAGGTCCGATGAAGAGATGCTCAGCAGTTGCAGCTTCTGAGACTTGGGAACGGCAGCTTGTAGAGATACATTGGACAGATTTGCTGAACCAGAAGTGTTGACGAACTTTGCGGTGGCTTGAATCATACCCTCTGCGTTGCGTTGGATCTGGAATGTCACGTTAAGGTCATTTGCGTTATAGCAGGGAATACCGGCAGGTGCCTGAGGCTGAGGTGCTGACGACACGGGAGACATGAGGTCGAGGTTCGATGATGGTGGGGCTGGGGAAACCGTAGATGGCACAGGGGCAGAGCCAAATAGGTCCATGATATTCGATACATTGGATTGCTGAGGAGGCGGCGAGGAGGCAGATGGAGGAGGAGACGAGGTACCACCTAAGATATCGGCGAGGAGATCAGTGTTGGTCGTTGAGGAAGCAGCTGGTGACGCAGCAGGCGCGTCCATAATATCCAGGAGGTCTTGTTCTGTTGGCTTGATGACTCTTGACTTCCTGTTGGCGGCCTTCTTCTTTGTAGGAGCTTGTCCAAGAACACGAGACTCCTCCTTGATCTGAGGAATAGGCATCTTCTCGAGCACTCCACGTCGGACCTGATCGAAGCTGAAGAGGTTGCCATATTCAACGACTCGCTGCTGAATCTCGATATCGAGGCTGGTCTGGTGATATTGCAGGATCCTTCGGATCTTCTCGATCTGAGCTGGGTCAGAGAAGCGGGTCGTTAACTTCATCAAGGCTGTCACAATGTACTCTGTTGACACTTGTGTGGCGTATGCACTGTTAAGAATCAGTGAGAACAAGTCGACAACCTCATGCTCCTTAACCTCCTGCACAAGCTCCTCTTCCTCATATTGTCCACCCTTAAGCAAAGCGTCTGCATATTCGCCGATACACCAAGCACCAGCCTGCGTCAGACTCTCCTGAGTAATGTCTTTCTTGAGGTTGATATAGAGTTTCTGAACCGCATAAGTCTGTAGCTCAGGGGTAGTAGCGACGAGGCGAACAAATGATGATAGGATCTGCTCCTTGACGTAGTTACCAGCAAGAGATAAAACTCGGAGCATTGTGTCGAAATGCCATCGCTTGTTAGGCGCAAACTTGTCAGCGGCGATACCTATCTGGCTGGTCATTGTTGGCTTAAACTCATTATCGGCAACCTCCAAGAAGGCAAGAAGCTCCCGAATCAACACTCGAACATTGCTCTCGTTAATCAAGGTAAAGCTCAGGTCCAGAGCTCGACGGCGAATACTGATATCAGGGTCTCTCAAACATTCCAGGATGGTGTTTCGATGTCTCTGCACAGCATTGGGCTCGATGGCGACAACCTTGATCAGGGTGTTAAGAGCCACGTATCGGATGTTGTTATCGCGGTTGGTGAGGAACTTGCCCAGAATGTTGACACCGAGCACCCTTAATCCAGAATCGGCCTCGATGTCGAGAATCGTGCGCACAGCTTCGTACAGGATGGAATTCCCAACATTCTTGGATGATTCGGTGTTGGTAGCAACCTGGGCAAGGATATCGTTGATCTGCTCGCTGGTCTCTGCATCACCCACAGCCAGGACTCGCAGAAGGTGAAGGATCTTGACCTGCAGGAAAGGGTCGGTAATACCAGTAACGTCGTGTTCGGGTGCGTAGCCTGAAGTAGCGAGCCCTTTCAGGGTTCTAACAAGTCCCGGAACAAAAGGCCTGAACTTTTCAACAATTCCTTCTTCTCCACCCTCCTCCTCATCTGCTTCGCAGAGGCTTGTCACCAGAGTAAGACCGCAGAGCAAGACGCCGTGGTTTCTGTCGGACAGAAGCTGTGTAGCCTTGTCAATGAAGTGCTCTTGTAAGTCTGGAACCTTTCGACATATGCGCATTGCGCACAAAGCCGCCTTTCTTCGAATATATGGGTTGGCTGTGGCTACGAGGGTCTCGATTTCGGGGAAGAGATCCCGTGACATCTCAATCGAGGCGATATTTCCTAGTGTACAGAGAGCAAGTCCAACAACATATTGGTTGGAATGTCCGAGATCGCTAAACCAAAGTCAGCAACCAGATGTTCGATTTGTAGGGCGTTAGGAGAAGTGTACTTCTTGAGGGAGTTGGTAACCAAAGTCAATACTTCTTGATTTTCATCCAACAACAAACTTGTAGCCAGATGTCCCAGACGTTTATCAGCGAATCGAGGGGAGGCGAGGAGCTTCAAGCATTCGATCTGTCCAAAGTGGGTTCGCTCTCCAAGGGTGAACAGGTAGAGTAACTTTGCGACGTTGTTACGACTGCCTGCGCATCAGTATCTCCATCCCTCCAATAGCACTGTTGAACCCACCGAATGTTGGGATCGTGGCTCTCCTCTCGAAAGCTGGCGCGGATGGCAGCGCTCTCTTTCTGAATGACAGCTCGCTCGTCTGCGATCGTCTTGGCCGCACGCACATTTCGAATGAACTGCTTGACTATCCCGAGCAAAAGTAAAGGTAAGCCTCTGACTGATCAGATCGCGAAATATAGCTCGTCGGTGCCGTACGGGAACTCATCTTGGGAGGACAGACCCAGCGGTTGGGCCGTCTGGTCGATGCTTATCCAGGGGTTGTGAGGGAAACGATGGGGGCTCGACGAAGCTCAATCAGCTCTGGGATAGAGCAATGAGCTACTATTTCTTTATGCGTGTCGAGGCGGAGGACAGAATAGTGAGGTTTCGTCAGAGCCTAGGTATTCAAGGCAGATAAACATAAGAGAAACCAAGTTGCGCCGTCAAGTTACAGGTCAGTGCCAGTGTCAGTGACGGTGTGTGCTGTGCTGTACAGAGTACTTCTGCTTGCGTTGCGGCGGACCTTTCAGACGGGACGTGGGGCACAGAGCAGACCTACACCGAATTAGATTTGCTTGGCAGTACTATGTACGTACTGCGTTAGTCATCACTAAACATGAAATACCTAAGCTTTGTTGAATCCATTAGGTACCTAGTAGGTACTACTCCGTACCTCCCAAGGTCAGGTAGGTACCTACCTATGTTAAGGCACGAACGAATACATACATCATTAAAAGAGAAGAACAAAAAGAAAAAGACACAGAAGGAACATAATCACAATAACAAGTATACTTGTTTATTCGTACACACATGATATTATAGCTCTAGGAATACACACAAAAACCGCTCATACAGCGTTTAACCCTTTTCCGTCTCATAGGCACCTTTAATAGGTACACATCCGTCCTCCACACACAATCTTACTTTACATCTGGACGACTTAGAGGGTGTGCTTCTGTGTTCAGCACCCACTCATCCAAGCTGATAACATCAAATTCGCTGAAGATGAGATAAAAGTACTTGAGAGTCTCTGCCAACCAGAAACTCTCCATACTGTCCATCTTTGTAGGCTCTGCTTTGGTGACATCGTCTATCGCTGAAGCCGCAATCTCAGTTCGTGTCACCTTCTCAATCGTTTCGAACATGGTCCACGCCTTTTCCATCCACTGTGCATCTCCTGTGACGCGATACATGATGAAGATGGACTCGATAGCCTCGGGTCGGAGAATGTATCGTCCATCGCTCACGTCAATCATACCTTTGGGAAGGTTGTGCTTCTTGACCACGTCTTGAACCGTTGGCTTCTTCCAGTCTGATCCTCTCAACGGCGGCGCCCTGAAGTCAGGAGCGTGTTGTTCTTCAATAGCCTTGAGCCAACGGTCCTCGTTCCAGGTGCAATCGCTCGAGTCCTTAGCATCGACGCCGCCACACGAGATGAAGTTGAAGACCTCAGGTCCAAGTCCCGTCTGCGTAGCCTGATAAGCCCAGATACATCCATCTGTGAGCTGGGAAGCGATCTCGAGATCTGCGGGGCGGTTGAAAATCTTGCTGCCCATTGCTACCATACCACCGGCGAAGCAGGTCAGATGCTGGCCTCGTGCAACATAGGTGTACTTGGGTTGTTCGCCTGGCAAATCAGTCACCTGGTAGTCTCCAGAGATGAGGACCGGCTTGTCCGAAGGTGTCAATGCTCGCTTGAAAAGGTGCTTGATGGCAACAGGGATGAAGTTTTCGTATAGTCGGCGTGGCTGCTCTAGTTGGCCGCCAAGAAGAAGATACCACTTGGGAAGATACTCGTACAGCGAGTCAGACATACCACCAAGGGTGAAGTCTGAACCAGCATGGAAGGCTGGTGTATAAGCATCAACGATTACCGGCCACATGCCAGGAAGGCGAGTGTTGAGCTGTGTAGATTCAAACTGGTCTCCAATTCTCTTGACAGCGTCATAAAATCTCGGGTTGTTGGTTAGCTGAGATAGTTTAGTGAGCTCGAGACTCAAGGAACCAAGTTCAGAAACAAGAGCCTCCCGCGAGGGAGACTGAGCTTGGCCATAAGCAGATCTAAGCATGTTAGCCACAATGTCAATATGTGATTAATGTTGAGGAAAACTCACTTCTTCCACTCCCATCGAGTAACTGGCATGTGGTTCGGTGTATCAAAGGCACACATGAGCAGGTCTCCCAGCTCAATAGCCTTCTTCAAGAGAATAGGATGAGCTCTTCCGCTCAATTCATATGCCGACAGGAATCCACCAAGATAGCGAATGTTGGTCTCGAAAATGTTGATAGTTGCCATGGGACTCCTGGTGAAATCAATGCCGTCTGCAGCGGCAACAGCTTTTGTGAACTCGTCCTTCATGTCCATGATCCAAAGGGTATCGAGGGCATCGACCAGAGTGGCAGCCCAACCGCCAAAGGGGTCCTTGGACTTGCCGGTCAACGGGGTCACCTCGTCGTGCATCCAGGCATAGTTGGAATACCCGCTCCAGCTGTGCTCGAAGCTCTTCTTGACTGCGGCCAATCGCGACAGTCGCAGCTCCTTGGCCGCGGCGCTCTCGACCGGAGCAGCAGCCTGAATCTTGGGGACCTTGACATCTCCGGTGATCTTTGGCAAGGCAGCTAGTTTCTCCTTGGGAATAGGATATTTAGGTAATCTTCGCGTCCAAGCTGTGGCGCCCTTTCCAGCAAGAGGATCTCCATTACCAAACAACTTGAAGCGAGAGTCCGAATTTGACCAGTACCAAAAGCACAAGATCCAGATGAAGGCGACGCCAATCCAGAGACGGCCTCGCCGTAGGGGACCCGCCATTGTGTGAAAAGGCAGTTAGTGGACTGCTAATAAGCAGCACAGGGTCTAGGTGAGAGAAGATAGTGAGGCGTGATCTGGGACCTCACATCGCAGGCCCAGGACGGGAAAAAGGCTGAGGTAAGTCCAAAGGCGTTGATGTTGGAGCTGTCAAAAAGATTGGCGATGTGTCTCGACTTGAGGGGGACCAACAGCAAGTCTCATCCAAGCCCGAGGCCGAGTCTAGACACGTCCCGTCTTATTAGAGCGAGAGGTAGGCTAGGTACGGATAAGAATCGAAGGGACAGGACGGGACCGGGGGGGGGGGGTAATCAGAAAAAGGGCAAATGGCTCTGGTTCTTAGTCGATAAATAAACCCTCAATCTTCAGCGCATGAATGTCTGAAATCAGTGTCAGTGTATGTGGCTGAGAGCTGTCTCGTCTCTTCTGTCCAGTTGAAAATACGACATGAAATTGCAGCGGGCGGTCTCCATACGTCCATAGGCAATCACTAGCCTACTAACACGTGAAGGAATGCGCCGTACGAATATGTAGTAGTGATGAATCCTGCATCTGACATGCTGTACGTATGTAGCTAGGTTGCTGGTATGGATGGTAGCAGCAGGGTCCTTTTCCTATTAATTACCTACCTACGGAGTACTGTGCCTGAAAACCTTCCCTTGCTTGGCATTCTGGACAGAACCGTTGTCAATGCGGTTTCACGAGGCACAAACGTTGGTTATGAACTCTTTTCGGTTCTCTCGCCCTGACTGGCCAATGCCACATTTCCCTCTCTGTCAACCCCTTTTGAACCCTTCCTGAATAAATGGCAGAAGACATCTCGAGACTTTGGAGAAAATCAGCTCGTACTCCTGTGGGGTCAAACCTAGCAGCTCCCTTGCAATATAATTAGACGATGTGGCATAGCCATGTAAGCTAAGCTGACCCAGCTGCCTTCTCTGACTGGTCTAGCTAAATATTGGGGCTTCGGTTCTTTGGAGCCTTATACCAGCCGTGAGCCACTCATATCCAGCAAGCTTTCAAGGGTTGGCTCCCTCAACAAAGGAGTTCCTATGAACGGATCCTCCCCCTGAGCAGCAAGATCAAAAGGGTAGCTTGAGTTTGACCATTCATGGCGAGGGAGTATGCATGTCAATCGTGTTTTATAGTTTCGGCAGTCATGTTTATGTTTGTACATATGTATGTATGTATGTCCAAAGAGGCTGGGCATGCTTTGAGCTTTTGAGGCCCTGGATTAGTATGTAGATACCTACCCTTATTAGACTACGGAGTACAGGCATTATGCTCGATAAGCCACGCTTCCAGGCTCCCGCCCCGTGGGCTGTAGGGCTGATTGTTCTTCCATGTCATGGCCCAGCGAGAAAATTGGCTCCAACGGCGGACACGTTTTCCAGACCGCCCGCCGCCGATTCGTTGCCCCTCACCAAAGCCATTGGATGGTAGGCCATCAGTTGATGCAGACTGGCTATCGTAGCAATCACAAATTTGACAACAGTACATATACGGGCACGAATATGCAGTTTGCGGGCCAAATGGAAAATTTCTCAGTTGTTAGAAGCCATGTAGGCAGATTCTGTGGCACAAAAGCCACAGAGAGATAGCAAGTAACACGGGAAGCAAGCCGATTACCCTCCACAACTTCAGTCCAACCAGTCCCAGATGTCCTTCGTTTCGCTTGCAGTTTTGCCACTAAGTAAAGAAGATTCAACCAGTTCCCTCCTCATGCCATGCATGTTCGTTACTCATCGACTAGCGAGAGATAGCAGGACCGAAGGTTTGGTCGATGAGGTATCAGAATATTGTCTCTTATTTTTGCATCATGAGCTGGACGAACTCGTTGTCTGTAGTCTTGTCAGTAACTCGACGTTGTTGTTATATATCTAATCTCAAGCAACCCACAGTCGATTCGGCCATCGCCGTCCTGGTCAGCCTCTCGGATCATCTCATCAACCTCATCATCAGTGAGCTTCTCGCCGATGGAGGTCATGACATGTCTAAGTTCAGCAGCAGAAATGAAACCGTTGTTGTCACGGTCGAACACCTTGAAAGCCTCACGGATCTCCTCCTCAGAGTCGGTATCCTTCATCTTGCGCGCCATCATGGTGAGGAACTCTTTACCCAGTGGTTAGTACTGACCGTCCTCTAATCATTTTGGAATACTACGCACCAGGAAAGTCGATGGTGCCGTTGTTGTCGGCGTCAACCTCGTTGATCATGTCCTGAAGCTCAGACTCGGAGGGGTTCTGGCCAAGAGAGCGCATAACGGTACCGAGCTCCTTGGTGGTAATCTGGCCTAGAGCGACGCGTTTAGCTCATGTTTTCGCTTCAAGAATATCGCATAGACAGAGATGTAAAGGATTTGAGTGGTCTGATGCATGCTTTGTTGGATCGATTTTGGGTTTCGCACGGGGCCAACGAAGAAACTTGGCGGAAAGGGGAGCATCACTCACCATCGCCATCCTTGTCCTACATAGAGAGGTTAGCGACAGCTTCTAGAAAGACGCGGCGAGACAAGGCGGCGAAATAAAAAGGGATGGCTTACAAAGAGAGAGAAGGCCTCCTTAAATTCGGAGACTTGCTCTTCGGTAAGTGAGTCGGCCTACAGAAACAAACTTGTCAGTCTAAACTCTCGAACGGTATCACCAGAACATCAGTTGCAGCCCCTCTCAATAGAGCCGCGGGGTCAATGCTTATTGGCGATAGCGCCAGAGGACAAGGCGGTAAAGCAAATGCTGGTTGATGGGTACGTCGCGCAACCAAGCAACGGACAGGTCGTGCTCACCATGTTGGATGTATGTGGTAGCAACGGTTGTGATAGTAAAAAAGGTGGATGTCGATCGCACGAGAAGGAAGAAAGATGACTTGGGCAAGTTCTGAGGTCGCGGGGTCTTGAGCCAAGAGTGTCGGACCTTTTCGTTTCACGGGTTTGGTGGGAGCTTTCGTAGGGAGACCCAAAGGTCAGGGGAAAGTCGGTACCTAAGGCATGAAAACGGTACATGCATTAACAAAGGAGAGATCATGCACTGTGTTTTGAATGTTCAGGGGGCTGGTGATCCTGAAATTAGGGGGAGGGACCTCGTCATGGCAGCTCAAGCACACTGTGCGGTTTGCCCAGAGTGATGCTTCGACTTCAGGCGAGCGGCCTTTGTTGAAGCATTGTTCGGATAAGGTAGGGAAGAAATGATCTGATAATTTGCACACTTCATGCAGTTTACCAAGTTATTATTACAAGTTTTTCGAATCAAAAGTCAAGTTTGACATCCAGAGTTACACAGCTTGATTTTGAGAAATAGTGTATTGCTGTGATAAGACAAGAGTTCTGCTCTTTAGTGGAGGCAAGGTGCCCCAGCGCCTCACTTTCGATGTAGAGGTACATGCCGTGAGTGAGGTAAACCTAGGTAGGTAGTACCTACCTACCTCGAAACAGAGCTACCTTTAGGTAGTTACCTTAGTTAGTACTAGTTAAGTCAGAGGGGACACCTCTCCCCTGTCATTTTAGCCAACGGAATTGGTCCAGTGTCGTAATGCCTCCAGCCGAAGCCAGCTATCAGCCTCAACCCGCATCTCGACTCTATTCGCGATCTTCTCACTCATGACGGCAATACCTTCCTGACCTCCCGTCCTATGACGCTCACCCTCGCGATTTAATATAGTCGAAGCACTCATTCTATTGCCGCGCCTGACATAGCTTCAGTCCCTAATTTGCGTCCGCCATGTGGCGAGACCGCACGAACCTGTAAGACGCCTATTGTTACCTCTCATTGTCTATGGCTGTCAGCTTCACTTCCACATAGCGAGCCTATATGCTAATGCAATTTGCAATTAAAGGTACATCTCCTACCGGCAGTCTTACGCGCATCACCCTACACAGCGAAGACCCTATGGACCGGGCGCCCTTGCTTCTGGTCCCCTTGCCGACGCCTATACCAGCAGCTATGCGAACGACGATCGTCGCGGCCTTCTATCGGCCGGTGCGTTTGAAGACGATGGCGATGCCGTGATTGAGATGGATTTATTGCCCCCTCGATGGGCTGACGTTTCGGATGAGATCACAGACTTGCTTGCCAATATCGCGACAAAGGGCCAGAGCTTGGAGAAGCTACACCAAAAGCATGTGCTGCCCGGTTTCAATGATGAAGACGCTAAAAGGGCCGAGGAAGCGCAAATAGAGAAGCTTACACAAGAGATCACCAAGGGCTTTCATGACTGCCATCGCTGCATTCAAAGAATCGAACAAATGGTGCGGGAATCACAGCACGCAGGTACCATCACAAAGGCAGAGGAGACCATGGCCAAGAACATTCAAATTTCGCTGGCTGCACGAGTTCAAGATGCAAGCGCTAGTTTCAGAAAGAAGCAGAGTGCTTATCTAAAAAGTTGGTAGCCCCTCCGTTTCTTTCCGGTATTTTCTTCTAACTTGGACTCACAGAGCTTCGTGGCATGGGTGGCTTTGGCGGGTTGAGTCCTGGCGAGAGATCTAGTACACCACAGCCAGGCTTCTATCTCGACCCATCTCTTCAAGAATCTGACGCAGATCGATCTTTTTCACAATCGACACTCCAAGCAACCCAACAGCAGAGAGTGCTCCATTCCAATGATGCTGCGATTGCTCAACGTGAACGAGAGATTGAGGATATTGCCCAAGGCATTATCGAACTGTCTGACCTCTTTCGAGATCTCCAGAACATGGTTATCGACCAGGGCACAATGCTGGATCGTATCGACTACAATGTTGAGCGTATGAATACTGATGTCAAAGCCGCTGACAAGGAGCTAGTTGTAGCTTCTGGCTACCAGCGGAGGACAACCAAGCGCAAGATCATTCTCCTCCTCATTCTTATAATCTTTGGTATGATCATTCTGTTGGTGATCAAACCCAAGAAGCATGGGTAGAGGCGTTTTTCATGGCAGTCTCAGATACCCGCTGTCTCCCTTGGCATATCCCGGCGTGGGCATAGAGAGGCAGCAATTATTAAACACATGTGCCAATACAATGTAAAGCAAGTAAAGTAATGGGACATGTCACTAATGTGTTTGGAGTTGCGGTTCTCTGTCCATTTTATTTTTTTTATTTTTATATATATTTATTATTCTATTTGGAACCGGCCTTTCTCTTTGGTCCTCAAGGCGCGTGGTTCAGAGGAAATGCGATCATCGTTATCATAACTTTGTTCGAAAAGCCTCGGATAGCTCTTCCATAACTTAGGCCTTTGCTTCTCGATCTCCAACGCCAATTGCGCCTCACTGGGGAGAATCTGAGAGCCCCAGGCCCATTCCACAAGTTGCTTCATGTTCGCTGGGGAGAGCTCTCTATCGTCTCTCGCCCTAGCCCTGGGCCTCATGGGCAATTGAGCCACTGCGAGACGATTTATTACTGTACTTCGCACTATTTGGGGATCAACGTAGACACCCTTGTCTCTCAGAACAGCCAACAAGCGAACACCACAAGCCAGGTCGAAGTCTGCGATTCCCACCGGTTTGACGTTTACGAGAGAAGGTGGAATTGGCTGTTGCGCCAAGGTCTGATCAAAGCCCCATCGAATGATGGAGCGCTGCAGACCGATATCGAAAATCTTCTGTATGGGGTGTTGTCTGTTCGTGAATGGCAGATCTGCTGGTATGCAAAATTGGTAGTTGGGATCGTTTCGATTCTTCGAACGTTTGTGATGTCTCTGTTTGGGATTTGTCTCGTTCTGGCGTGGGCCTATTTCGGCTCTCCAGAACTCCTCCTTAAAATGGCTCCTTTTCTTCTTCCCATCGGCGAAGGAATAGTATTCAGACCAAGTCTCTGACTCCCCCTCCAACTCTTCGGCTTTGGTATTAGGGCTGGGGGGCTGGTCCTGCCGATGCACAGGAATCAAACCCCCTGGTTCTGGCCTATAAAGTTCACATATCTCATAACTTAGGCCTTCTAGATCATTAAAACGTCCCAGACGTCCGAGGTTATGGAGCAATATTTGCCAGTATCGAACAGGAACGGCAACTCGAAGTCGTGCCACTCTCAACGAGAGGTGAATAGCTCGGTCAAGCGTATGAGGCCTGTTGAGCTTTGGATGGTAACATATATCTTCAAAGATGCGGTTTAGAAGTGCTTTCGAGTTTTCCCGCTCCATGGTTACATCCAGGCTATCCATTTTATCAACAACACTCCTGACTTTCGCAAGACGCTTCATGGACAGAGCCATGCTCAGGTGCTTATTGAGATCCATGTAGATGATGTTGTCCTTACTTGGTCCTGGAGTAGCTGCCACACCTTCAACCTCTTGAAGTAATCGCTCTAAACCCCAATCTTGCCGTTGAGCGGAAGATGCAAGTAGCATTGACCGCGTCTCTGGATTCCCAAACTCTTCTGGGTGTATATCGCAGTGTAGAAGGGTTCTGAGCAACTCGTCCTCACCTCGTTCAGCGAAGGAGATGATTGCATCGCAATAGGCTCCAGATCTTATTTTGATCCCCAGCTTTCGGAGTTGTGTCAGGCGATCAGCAACTCCGCGGGCGTCATCTTCTCTCAATGCAATGGATTGCAACGAATGATAGCTAATTGTGCGGAGGCCAATCTTATGCATCAGGTTGATCGCAAACTCTGGAGATGTCCAAGAGCTGGCGAACCATCGTGCTGTAAACCTGTCGCTAAAAAAGCTGTGCGTTTCCAGTCGGGTGTCCTTTTGTACAGAAGTACCAACGCCATCACCAAGGCAGGTGTCTCCATTAAGTACCGCCAGCTCTTCCTTTGTGAACTGGATTGCGGAAAAGTAGCGAGAAAGGAAATCCAAGAAAGGCATGGACTTAGGCGACTTGGGATGGTCATTGAAAAGATTGAACCGTTTCCTCCAGACACGCGCGGCATGTGACTGGCCACTTTCAAAGAGAGCCGGCACAACATAGTCGTACAACTCACGGTATGGACTGAAAACGTATATCTTGGTCAAAGTACTCTGAAGCTTGGGAGTGAAGTCGATGGCACAACTTGCCAGCAGAGCACCGAAGCTATCCAACTCAGGACAGAACATGGGCATGAGTTTGAAATGCCAGCCCAATGCAGTTTCGTAATCAGCGTGTGCTAAATAGAAATGAACCACTTTCAGGTATAGTTCAGGCCAATTGAAGTCGTGAGTTTCTACTAGTTGCGCTGCGACCTTGAAAAGCTCTTCCATCCGGTCAGAATTTGTCAACGCTGCCTCCAAGATGTTATCACGCAGAAACAGAGCTCCAGTTTTGGTTAAGAGATGCGATTGGTCTCTGTCCCGAAGCTCCAGAAGCGTTTGCCATGTTCCTTGGTCTCCACGATCCTGACGGCTCGTTAGAATGCGACACTCCCAAAAGTATATGGCATCCAGATCGGACTTCTGGCCCGATGGAGTATCTTTTTGGCTTCGACGCAGGCGAATACCCAGCGGGAAGGGTAATTCGGATTTTGGCGGCCTTTGTCCAGTCTCTTGTTGAATATTATGCTGTCTTGTCCCACCCCCAGCTTCTCGGCCAGAAATCAGCCTATCGTCTTTTTCGTATATTCTTGTAGATGCCGGTGCCAACTCTGTATTATACTGAGATCTTTGTTGTGTGAGTGTCCTGATGTATGGAATACATGCAGATTGGCGCATTCGAAATCGTCTAGGGATTTGATGCATGGCTGGGTAAATAAACCAGCATTAGCTGGGCTCGTATCATCGCATCGGTCGTAGTCGAGAAGATAATAGTAAAATCATCGAGACTGTCTTAAGACTGAGACTTTGAGGTCTTCAATAAGTCCTTCATCATAGCTCCGAATCTTTTTTTTGGGGGGGGGGGGGGGGGGTTGCGCATCATAAACTTGGAGCACTTTACAGGCAAGTAGAGTGACAGAGGTGCGCTGACACGTGCCCCCACCAACAGAAACGTCAAGAGCTCTGCTGAGTCATACTCTTACCCGGCTCCCAATCAACTTATGGCCTCATTTCTTTACCCGAACTTCGACATCCTCCGTTCACCAACTCAACCACACCCACACGAAATCAACCTTCGAAGCTTCCCAGAACTCTCATTAACCGAATTCAAAATGCCGTACGTACAGTTGAGTCATGAACGATTCTCGCGATAGCCTTGACCACTTTCCCCGACGTCAATGGTTCATCCCGAGCTCCAGACACTGCAAGATATAACATCATACGAGAACCCGTCACTGACGCCCATCCAGTCTCGTCAACGCCAAGAACCCCGTTCCCCAGAACCAGCGATTCTACCAGAACGCTTACAAGAACCACACCCGTCTTTGGAAGATTGTACGACCAAATTGATGGTTTAACCTGTCTTTTATCCAGCTGACCGACATGACAGGGCCCTCGCAGCCGCATCCTCATGACTCCCTACCTCATCCTTCTCTGGGGTACCCTCGGTGGTAAGTAAATCGCGGTTTTTGATCGGACGGAGGTCAATTTGGGCTTGCATACTGACAGGTACAGCTTCCTTCTACGGTGCTGGTCGCAAGGTCCTTGGCTACAACTCTTACTTCGGAAACTAAGCAGTGGGATTCGCATGGTGGGTGACACAACTTGCTTGCTATGGAAGGCCAACGTGATTAGTAAATTGAGTCAATAGACGGAGATGAACCCAATGTGAGATCGTTACAGTCGTTCATATGCATTTTGGAGACCGATATCTCTTGTCAAACCGCGTCCGCTATTCACACGTCATTGCCATTAAACCAGGACTCCCAGAAATTTAGAATTACATGAAGAACTCAAGAAAGTTGCATGCCTCAAAAAGCAGCGTCTAGCGCGCACTGCAGCAGACCTGCGAATCTCTATCCACGGATAGTTGAGTCAAAATCCAACCAGGCTTGTTCTAATAGCCTGTAGCGCCAGGCGCCTTTTCGTCCTTTCGTAGGCTGACTAGCAACTCTCGGAATCGCTCCTTGCCAGATCCAGAGGCACCTCCCTTGGCGCCCTTACCGCTGACATCCACCAACTTGGCGATTCGGTCCCAGCTGGTGCCACCAGAGACGGTGTCCTCTCGGCTTGCCAAGAACTCTTCGGCTTCCTTTCGTGTTTGCGCGATGCCCTTCTCCTTCTTGTTGTTGTAGTTCTCGTAGAAGTCATCGATGTTCTGCTGTGCCTCCTTGATGGTCTCTTCTCGCTGCGCAGCGAATTGTTCAGCGCGTTTGGCAATCTGGTTGTCACGGCGCTCCCGCCACTCCTTGACGACCTCGGGCTCTTCCTCTTCCTCAGCGAAAGCCTGATACCCGGAGTTGTAGCTCACGGAAGGTCCTCCTGTAATGGCGGTTCCACCGGAGACACCAGTACCCTGTTTGTTGAAGTCAGCTCCTCAATTCAAAGTGTCTAGGCAAACAACTCACAGCCTCAGGGTTAGTCAGGTCAGGGAACTGGGATTCGAAAGTGGACTGCTCGTTATTACCAGCGCCGCCGAGAAGGTCATCATCGTTACTAGCGAAGGCAGCAGCGTCATCGTTGGTCGCGAACTGGTCTGCATCATCTCCCAGAAGGGCCTTCTCGCGGGCGAGGAAATCATCGGTTGAGGGCTCAGCAGTAGGGTCCTTGATATCGGTTTGCGCTAGAAATACATCAGTGTTGGGTCCGCGCATTTCTTGTGTTGATGCACTTACCCCCGGAATCGAAGTCCTCGAGTGACGGGAAACGGTCGGCCATTTTGGAAGCGCAGATAATTAAAGATCAATACTGAGTGTGTGGATATCGAAAGGTGCGTAAATTCTATCGGATGAAGACGGGGGGAATATGGAAAGGTCTCGTTCAGATGCGAGGATTATCAGTTTACGCTGTTAGAATGTATGGTCCTCCTATTCAGTTACTGCCAAGTAGTAGGCTATCCTAGCTGATGAGGTGGATTCTGCCGGGCGGTGAAAGACACACAACAGCATGAGCTTGATGGAGTGGGTCAAGTGCATGCACTAAGGCCATGTAAATATGCACTTAGAAGCTATTTCCACTTTATCGGATGTTTCTTCTGGCCAACCTAGCTCTTGATCTATAAACTCTCCTTATTTTACCAAAGAAAACATTTCAGTCCATCACACATTCGAGTTACGTATCATTCTCGCTTTCGCAGCTTTATCTACAGGCGAACTGGATCGTACAAGGATCCGTGTTTGTGTTATTTGTGCGGAAACAAGTTAGCAGACTACGAACATTATTCCTGCAGGTAGCTGTAGTAGGCGTCGTTTCCACAGTGATACTACGGTAACAGCTACAAACCGGCTTCTAAATAATTGTCGCGACATCTGGTCCATAATCCTGCGCTTGCATTCGCTCTTGAAATTCGCTTTTCTTTGTTTGTTTCTCCTAACGAAGGCACCGTTGCTACCAAGATGGCTTACAACGATGACTCTGTGTTGGCGCGACTCTCGTCACTGAACGAAAGCCATGATAGCATCGCCACAGCTGCACAATGGATCATGTTCCATAGGTACGGTTTCTCCTTCATGCATCTCAAGAGATATGGTTGACAATTTCAGGCGCCATGCTGAGAGGACTGTACAGCTGTGGATGCAGCGCCTCAAAGACTCTTCCAGCACAAAACGATTAAGTTTGATTTATCTCGCCAACGGTATGTTTGTCTGTCAGCTGTGATGGGCTTTACTGATTACAGATTCAGAGGTGGCCCAGCAGTCTAAAATCCGACACAAGGATGACTTTATTATCGCCTTCGCGCCGGTGATTGCTGAGGCTGTTTCCGTCGCTTATAAGGGAGCACCCGCAGAGCTGCAGGCGAAATTGAAACGCGTTATAGACGTTTGGAGAGATCGCTCGATCTTTGAAGCGCCAATTCAATCCGCAATCGACGCCCGGATTGGAGGTGAGTACCTGCACAGGTTCAAACAGCTGGTGACTGACCTTTCATTCAGATATCGACAAGTCCCGGGGTATGTCCAAGCCCGGATTTGGCGGCTCTCCATTCGGTAGTACTAGCACTGCCACTTCTATTCCATCTGAATTTGCGCCTCTGGTCACTGCTCACCAGAAAGTAACCAAATTGAGCACTCCTCTCAAGGCCACGATCACATCAGCAGACCAAGAGTATGAGAAGCAAACTGACCCATCTACACCTGTTCCCTCTGCTCCAGTTTATGCAGCTCGGTTGAATGGCCTCCTCAAAACGTTGGCCAACGCTGAGAGTGCGGTTGCTGAGTGTGTAAAAGCAAGAGAAGGCCTCGTTTCCGGTCTGGAATCACTCCTCAACGCTAACCGTGCTGCATTGGAGGACGAGAGGTCCGCTGCGGCTCAGCTGACATCCCGAAAGGCTGAAATCGAAGACAAGAAGCACCAAGTTGAGGTTGGCATCATGAGAGCACTGGGCCCGGCGGACAGCAATGGTTCTCCAGGACAAGGAGACTCTTCAGTTACGCCCCCAGAGCCAGACAGACCAGAGATTGAGGCATTGACTCCACCGGCATTTGAACCATTCGAAGCACCCACCCCTGAGGCATTGACACCAGAGGGAGAGCCTGTTGCAGCTCCTTCTATATCTCCTGACCCTGTTCCTGCTGCTGCTACTACTACTTCTCAAGACAAAGAAGAAGAAGAAGAAGTACCCTCGTATCAGTCATTGCCAATCTCAACCAATGGGTCGAATAAGCGCCGCCGTGTCGACACTGAAGAATTTCCTGATCTAGGTGGAGATGATGGTATCGATGCTGACGTTGCTGAAATGCTGAAGGGACAGCCTCAATCGTAACCGGGTCATATGTTATCAACAAGTTGAGGGGTTATTTGGCTTGTCAGTTTGGGGCTTGCTAATATGTTATGTTCTTGCAAACAGTTCCGTTCAGGTTGGACGAATAGATTGCCAGGAACGATCGGCACATACAATACTAGTCTAGTGTATTATTAAGTATAGTGAATTATTTCGTCTTGTTGAGTAGATAGTGAGGGAATTAGTAGAGCAATACTGGTCGCAGTCTCGTGGTATTCAGAAGCGTCCAATCTGCTAACCATTATGCAACAGATGTTTATCGGCCATATAAGAATTGCTATAACGAACCTGAATAACTGAAGTGCTTCTCTTTCGGCCTGCGTGATTATGCAACCTTTCTAGACACAGTTGGAATTCGTCATGGCGCTCATGTTGGATCCGAGAGCATTCGGTTCAGTTCGGATCAATTGAGGCCGTATTCGCGTAGATCCGACCGAGGGATGCTGCACACAGCACAGCATGCACACCATCTTAACGCAAGGGTCCCACCCAAATTTTTTGAGCAATGGATCCATTGACTCGCCTGGGCTGGACTGGGCCGGACTGGACTTGACTGGGCTGTCGCAACTCGGAAGCTGAGAAATGCCGCTACGACAATGACGGCATCACAACCTCGACAACTTTGATTCCTTTTGTCAATGTCAACGCCTCTGTCAACTGCTTCACTACTGCTTCCTCACGGCTCGAGCCCCCTGCTTTTCCTCGAGCGATAATAGTGCCGCTCCTGAATATGCTACGCTGAGTGGGCGTCTGATCAATTCCTTCCCTACCGTCATCATGGTCTCGGGAGTAGCACGCCGTGTGCTGCTCCCACGCCTCGCCGAGCCCTCGCAAGTGTCTCTGGCTACATCGCGGTGTCAATTAGGAGCTTCGTTCTACAAGTCTGAGGCTCTATCCCTCCAGTCGAGGCTTTTCCACGCTTCCA